TAGTGGCTTCGGCCGAGTCCCACATTCTCCCTGCTACCAAGTGGGGAGGTTACTACGAAAAGCATTTCTGGGTGGACAAAGAGGGGCGGGGTATGAGCGGGGGTCGAAAAAATTTCGAAAAAAAAGAGTGATAATAATGATAAAATTTCCGGAAATCTTTTAAGTTATCATTTTAAAATTTAAATAAATTAAAACAATAAAATCGGTTAATAGGATACAATAACAACAGCAACGAATAAAAAAAAAACAACAATTCAATAATAATAATAATAATAATAATAATAATAATAATTTAATTAATTAATTAATTAATTAATTTAAATAAATAAATATTTTATTCGCGTCGCTAATTTTTACGATGGTTGAAAAGAAAAGTGAAAAAGCAGAAAGAAAAAAAAAGGTTAAAGGAAATTTTTTTTTATTTTTTCTTCTGCTTTATTATTTTCTAACGACTCCCACCCCCCACCTTTCTCTTCTTCTCGACAGGCCTGCTCTCTACCGTACGTTAGTTATTATTATTATTATTATGGCGTCGTTAAAAAAATTTTCTTGACTTTTTCTTTTTTCATTTCTTTCTGTTATTTTAAATTTTTTTGAAAGGTACAAATAGAAAAAAAAAAAAAATTGAAAAGTTTGAAATTTTTTTTTTTTTTTACGGGGAAGAGTTGACAAAATAAATTACGTGTATGGGGGAGGGAGGGTAGGGGGCGGTAGGGATAAAGGCGCGAAAGGGACGTAAAAAGGAAAGAAAAGAAAAAACTTTTTTTTTTTTTTTATCCTTTAAATTTCCTGCAGCGTATATATATACATACTCATAGATTGTTCAAATATGCTTTTGACGTTTTTTCGTTTGTTTGTTTGTTTACCCCCCTTTTGTTTTCCTCTTTTTTTTTTTTTCTCTTCTGCTTTTTAAGGAAAAAATTTTTTTTTTCTTCTTCTTATATTTTCCCTTTGATATTTCCCTTTGTTTTCTTTTTTAATTGTTTTCTTTCGCGATGCTTTTTTTTCCCACTGCAATTTTTCACGTTTCCTTTCTTCCCCCTCCCCTCCCTTAACTCAGTAAAAAAAAAAAACAATTAACTAAGTGTGTTTTTTCAAAATTATTCGACCGTAAAATTCTATAAAAATAATAAACTAACAAAGGAAGGAAGGAAACGTTAAAAGAAAATATCATATTATTATTATTATTATTATTATTATTATTATTATTATTATTATTATTATTATTATTATTATTATCATTATTATCATTATTATTATTTTCCTCACTCGAGCGAAACAAAAAAAAAAAAAAATTGACAAGACGACAGAAAATAATTATTATTATTAATTATTATTATTATTATTTATAACTGACCCAAAATAACAAAAAAAAAATTTTTTTCAAATCTTATCGAATCGTTATTATTATTATTATCATCATTTATTTTCGAGATTTTATCGAAACTTATCGAATTGAAAAAAAAAAATGGGGGGATTTTTTTTTCTACTACTTATAACCGACCTTAAACTTGATACTTTTTAAAAATAATAATGGCGAATGATAAAAAACAAAAAAACTTTAAAGTTTTTTATTTATTTATTTATTTATCGTTTACGACGACGACAACAACAACAACAACAACCGCAAAATAATAAAAAAATAAAAAAATATTGTTCACCGATAATAATTTACAATTTATTATGGAAAACGACAAATACAGGAAGGGTGGGGTGGGGGGTGGCGGGAACAATAAAAAATAAATAAACAAACGAATTGATATATAAACTTTTGCAATAAAAAAAAATATCAATCGTATCAATATTTATTGAACTGTTGGGTTAAAAAAAATAAAATGACAGTAAATAATATAAATAAATAAATAAATAAATTGAATGCGGTTCAAATTTATTTTTGTGAATGACTTAAAAAAAAAAAAAAATGGAGAAAAGAATATGTAAATAAAATAATAATGATAATAAATATGTCGCGAACGCGTGGGTGTTGTTAATACATTTCATTCATTCATTTATTTTGTTATGGGGTTTAAAAAGCAGACGATAATTGAGGGGGGGGACGAAAAAAAACCCGGTTGATGCAACACTAATACAATAAATAAAATTTGTCGTGTATTTAGAAGGAAAATTTGTGACGTCATTGATATTGTTATTCCCTATTGCAAACAATAACGATTTCTGAACTCGCATTATTTTTTTTATTTTTTTATATAATAATAATAATAAAATCCATTCGCTAACGATTTGTGGGAAAAAAAATTTAAAAAAAATAATAATTATTATCATCATCATCATCATCATCATCATCATCATCATCATCATCATCATCATTATTAATTATTATTATTATTATTATTAAACAACCACAAAACTTTCAATTTCTCAAATTGTCATCAACAAACAAACGCATGAACATACACACGAACGCAGACTAAAAAAATTTTTCTTTTTTTTCTTTTTTTTTTTTTTTCGTAATATTAGTTGAAAACTTTTATAATATATATATGTTTATATATTTATAAGGGAAAAATTAAATTTTGAATATTAAAAACGGATTTAATAATAATAATAATAATAATAATAATAATATAACTCACGGCAGACGAAGTTTGTACGATATTAATAACAATATATATATATTTATTAATATTAAAATATATATATAAAATGAAATTTTATTTTTACTTATTTGTTTTTCATGTTGAATTAATTTAACTTTGGTAATAATATCAATAAGAATATATACGTACATATATATATTATTATTATTATTATTAATATATATTTTTCCGGTGAAGAGCGAATAACAAATCGTATGAGTGTACGAAACACGATATGAAATTTTCTTTTACGGGGTTTTAATTTATTAAATGGCGGTGGTGGTGGTGGTGGTAGTTGCATAAAAAATCAAAATGGCGACGGAAATATAACAAAAAAAAAAAATTTACAAAACATTACCAACAAAATAGTAATAAAAAAAAAAAAAAATTTGTATACGAATTAATAACGAGTTATAAATCGCGGCATTTAAAAATATGTCATAATTTTTTTTTTTTTTTAATGCACATAAATCGATCGTAATTAAATTTTAAGTGTTTGTTAAGTGTTTCCACATTCCCCCCCTTTCTCTCTCTCCTCCTTCTCTCCCTCTCTACTTCCCCCCTCGAAATGATTTTACAGAAACGATAATCGAGATATAAATTATTTTTAAAAAGGTAATAATAACAATTATTATTATTATTATTATTTATAAAATCTTAATTTGGTTTTTTTTTTTTTTTTAATAATTAAATTTTATCAGAGAAATAATAACGATAATAATAATAGTAAAGGAAAATAATGATAATGATGATGATAAAGTAATAATGATAATAATATCACGATAAGTTATTGAAACTAAACACGAGAGTTTAAAATTAAAAGTTAAAAAGGAAATTGGGGGGAAAAAAAAATTTAAAAATTCACATCGCGAAAATTAACTTAAGTTGGTAAGAATGATTTTTTGACGAAAGGGAAATTTATTTTTCCTTTCTTTTGTTTTTTTTTTTGCGACAAATTTTAAAAAAGGGGAAAATTTAAAAAAAAAAAATTTTTTTTGATAAACATTTTGTTCAATTCGTCGACATTATTTAAATACTCTTTGTAATTTTTAAAGGGAAAAATGTCGACGATGTAAAAAAAAATATGTACAGGGGAAAAAGTCGGAAAAATAAAAATCGACGGGTGAAAGGCGGGGAAAAGAAGGAGTAGGAGGGGCGAGTAAAATCATTTTCGAGTTATTATTTTTTTTTAAAAGATTTTCCTCAATTAATTTTTTACATAAATTAATGATACTAATATTATTATTATTAATTTGCTTATGTGAAATTATTAATAATAATAATAATAATAATAATAATAATAATAATAATAATAATAATTCGATTATTATTATTTTTTCCTCCCCGTTTTATAAAAAAAATTATATTAATAATTAATAAAATATCAAATTAATTTCCTCCTCATCGCCCCCTTTTTTTTAATAATATTTTTTTCCCTAAGTAAATATTTTATGTATGTAAATAAATAATTTATGTACATAAATAACAAACAATATTAAAAATATAAATCCAATAAAGTTTCAAGGCAGCAAAAAAAAAAAAATTATAAAAATAAATAAATAAAATTTTTTGTTTTCCTTTTCGTATATATATATATATTTATATATACACGTCGTTAAACACAAAACATTTAATTTTATTGCATTTTTATTATTTACCTACGACCCCCGGCCCCCCGTACGCCCCCCGTACACCCGCCCGCATTCACTCAAATTTTCCTACGTTTCGAATTTTTTTTTTTTTTTTTTGGGAAATTTACAAAAAGAGGAAAAATTAAATCATGCGTTAAAAATTTCACAAACACAAATTTTCCCATCGGTGTTTCAGACAAATTTTTTCGACGTGGCATCAGACAAAAAAAAAAAATAATTATAATAATTTAAATACATCGATGAGATGTTGATTAAATTTAAGGGAATTTCGGGAGAAAACAATACGAAAAAAAAAATGTAGGAAAGGAGGGAAAAGGGGGAGAGAAAGAGAGATGGAGAGAGAGAGAGAGAAGGAGAAAGAGAGAGAGAGAAAATTATAAAGAACCTTAATCGTTATCACAAATCACCTGATGAAAATCTTATCAAAGTATAAAAAAACTTTATCATCAACAAAAGAGAGTGAGAAAGAGAGAAAAAAATTAAAATCATTCGGAAAATCTAAGAAATCGGCCATTTTTTTTTTTTGTTACCTTATCATTTATTAATTTGCCCTGATTAGTTTTTAATCAGTGATTTATAAATTTTTTTTTTTTTTTATTTTATTTTATTATTAATTCTTTATCGTTCGGGTGAGTTGATTGTTTTAAAAAAAAATTTTTTTTGGTATCTTTTCTCTTAGCATCATCATCATCATCATCATCATCATCTTGTCATCATAAATTTTTTTAAATTTTTTTTTGTTGCAGTTTTTCCGGTTTTTCCACGTCAATCAAAATGAAATTTTATTACGGGTTTCAAATCGTTATATTATCATTATTTTTTCTTTCGGCGGTACAATCCTCACATAATAATGATGATATAAGGAGGAAAAGTTTTTTTTCATCCATTGTCGACAAAGTCGTACACAACACATTGCAAACGCTTAAAACAACTTTGGAAAAATTAGAAATACCGGATTTTAAAGAAAAATTTAACGATCCTTCGTTAAAGTCAGTAGTAGTTTTTCCCCCCATTTTCCGATTTTCCATTCGGGTTCTGTTAATTCATTATTATCATTATTATTTGCATTTTTTTTTACAGCGTTACTTTCAGCGGGGAAAACATCAAGATAAAAAATGCAGAACATTTTGAAAATCCATATTTATCCACAAGTCTTATACCTTTGACTATAAATAATTTCACATTGACGTGGAAAAATGTAACCGTTTCCGCCGATTACGATATCGATGGAGTCATGGATTTCGATTTTCTACAATCTAAAACAAACATATTCGGACGAGGAAAAGGAAGGTAAGAAGACATTTTGAAAAAATTGAAAAATATGCCGCCATTTTTCCATAAATTGTTGTCAGTTATTTAAAAACTTGATTTTCGCCCCTTTTTTTTTTTTTTAAATATTATTAACGGTTGTAGGCAGGAAGGTAGGAAGGTAGGAAGGTAGGAAGGTAGGAAGGTGGGAAGGTGAAAGGTGGGAAGGTGCGGGGGAGGGAGGGGGAATTAATTTTTCCATAGAATAAATAAAAATAATTACGTATGAATGAATGAAAAGGAAAAAAAAAAAAAATTTTTAAAAAAAAAGGAACCAAGGATAAGGTTTAAGGGGGGGGGATGAGGAGATAAAAATAAGGAAAATAATAATAATAATAATAATAAGTTTAAAAAATTTATTAAAAGAATATTCTAGAAAGAATGAAAAAGAGAGAACGAATCAAAGTTAAAAAAAAATTAAATTAAATTAAAGTTTTCTTATTATCATCATTCGCAAACAAATAAAAAAAAAAAAAAAATGGCGTCAAACGTTTACAAATTAAATAAGAAAAAAATTAATTTTTTTTTCGAATAATAATAATAATAATAATAGACAATAAGACGATTATTTTTTATCACTTAAACTGATAAAAAATAATAATAATAATAACGCAATGAAAAAAATATTGTCCCATCGAATGAATGAATGATTTTAAAAAAAATTTCTAATCGATAAAAAAATTTTAAATCCATTTGTTCATTATTATTATTATTATTTATTTATTTATTTAGAATTTATCGTTTTTATTTATTTTGACCGTTATTACGCGAGAAATAATAATAATAATAATAATGGTTTTCGTTAAACACTCGAAACGTAGTGAAGAGGAGCGCCCACGCTAAAAAAAATTACGTTGTAAATGTTAACCAAAATGGAATGGATCGAATGAGGGGGAGGAGAAGGAGGAGAAGGGAAAGAGAAGGGGGAAGGGAAAACAAAAGCTTTTCCTTTTGTTTAACCGGAGACTGTAGAATTTCTTTCCGGCAGGAGCAAAACCTTGAATTTTTTTTGCACACGCTAGAATTTTTAAATCATAACAAAAAACCGATTCGAAGGACTCGTGGAATAGGAATCCAGTTTAATCATTCACGGAATTAATTAAAAAAATCCAATCCGTATCGGAAAAAGGAAATTTATTACGGTTATCGAATAATAATAATAATAACAACAACAGGAGAGGAAAAATGATTCGGTTGGGAAAATTCTCATTTAGAAAATTTTAAAAAATTTTCACCATACGAAATCATTTATTTTTTCTCTCCCCCTTTCTCCCCCTCCCACCCTTTCCTCCTTTCCTGTTTTACTGACGTAGCGTGAAAGAGTTTTCCACGAAACAAAAATATCATTAAAACAATAATAATAATAATAATTTTTTTTTCTCGTAACGGCATCAAATTCATTTGCAGCTTTAAAAAATTTATTTATTTCACAGAATTTTCTTTATTATTATTATTATTATTATTATTATTATTATTATTATTTTTAATAAGTGTAAATGTTTTATTTATTTTATTTGTTATGATTTTATAATTCATAAAAAAAAAATATGATGAACGTCGTCGGTGTATACAAAAGTTTAGTACGCACACAAAAAAAAGAAAAATGGCGTATTTTCCCTCATCGATGATAATATCATTATTATTATTTGTATTTTTCCAGCGTGGAATTAGAAGATGTATTTTTCACAATAACCGCAGAATTATATCTCAAAGGTGGCACAGTTCAAATATATAAAAACGGTTTGAAAAATTTCGACATGTCTGTTGGAAAATCAAAGGTAAGTGAAAAAAAAAAAAAATTTTTTTTTTAACTAAAAAAAAAAAAAAAATGGCGGATCGATGATGATAATTTAACAATAAATACATAAACCTTGACAGCATCTTTCGGGTTATCAATCAAATAGTATCTAATTATTTATTTAAATAAACTCTTACGTCACAAATTTTTTTTTTTTTTCGTTTGTTAATTAATAATCAAAATGCTTAAAAAAATCTTTCGTTATAATACTAAAATCCGCGAGATTAAGTATGCGAATCGTTTGTTTGTTTGTTTGTTTGTTTGTTTGTTAGCAATAAAAGACTTTGAGATGGCACACGTGATAGCGATCATATACGATTTCACACAAGTTTTTTAACACAAATTTTTCGTACGACAAAAAATTATTATTATTATTACTAACGATATTTTTTATTCTATTATTAATTTCTAATCAATACTTACTCATTTATTTTATTTGAAATCGATTTAAAAATAATCGAACGATATCGATATATATCGAAATAAAAAAACGAAAAAAAAATTTACAATTAAAAAAATTTTTTTTTTCACCACACACACGCGCCCGACCGCGTTTTATTTAATATTTTTCGTTATTATTTTATTTTGATGACGTCATAATAATTTAAAATAAAAAAAAAACCGTTACGAAAATATTAATTAACGAATCGGAAAATTTTTTTTTTCCCCCTTTTTTTTTTCAAACGTTTTTTTAACGGTTACTTACACATAATAAGAATATTTCGTTTACGGTTTCAACATGGCGGTTTCGTAATATCAAAGAAAGAAAACGATATATCGATATATCGAATTCTCGAAAATTGTTTTTTTATTCTATGATTTGTTTTTGTTTCGTACACGTCATTATTAAATAATTTTTTTTTATATTTTTTTTTTCGTCATTGCGCGTTCTATTAATAAAAATTATTTTAATTAAATAATAATAATAATATTAAAATTATTAATAAATAAAATTTCCTTTTAAAAATAAATTATTATTATTATTATTATTATTATAATTATTAGTTTTTAAATAACGTTTTTATTTTATTTTTATTTAATTTGATGTTTAACAATTTTTTTTTTTTTTATTGGATTTTTATTTATTTATTTATTTTAAATATCAAAACGAAAAGTATTGAACTTATTTATTTATTTATTTATTTTTATTTTAATTTATTTTTATTTACATTCGCGGAAAATAAAAAATAAGATAATAATAATAATAATAATTTTTTTTGCGTGAATAAAATTCTCGAATAAAAATTTTCCTAATTTTTTTTTTTTTACGATTCGTTCGATACCGGAAATAAATATTTTCAATAAAAAAAAAAACGGAAACGAACAAATAGAGTAGTCGTTGTAATAATAATAATAATAATACTAATAATGATAATAATAATTTGAACGGAAAAATGGAAAACGTAATACGAAGTAAGAAGTAAAGGATAAACGAAGTGAGAAAGGGATAACGATGATGACGCAATTAAGATGACGTAATAATCCGTCGTTGCCGCTTTTTTTTTGTTGATTTCAGGTATCTTTAAGTAGTTTAATGGGTAGCGAAGATTTAGGAGGAGTTGCCGGAGCATTTTTATCCGATGCACTTCCGATGTTTGTGAGTCAAGTGAAAACAGCCATTTTTACTTTGGTCGTTGGTGACGTCATTGATTTCTTAAACAATATGTTATCCGGATCGAGTTTCTTTTTCAGCAGTCTCGCAAAATATGAAGACATGAGTCACTTGCAACGAAATTATCTCAACTAATAACCTTTGACCCCCCTACCATCCTCTTCCCAGTTCAAAAAAGAAAAATCATAGCGAAAAAAAATCCTTCATTTTATTTCCACGGACTCCCCCCCCCCGGCCCGATAAAATTCGAAAACTCACTCAAATTAATAATAATAATAACGATGATGATGACGACGATGATGATGATGATAATAATTATTTAATAACATTTTCCGCGAATTTTCATATAAATAAATAAATTAAAATTTAAAATTAAACACTTGGTTTAATTTTAAAGAAACTCTTTATGGCGAACGTTTTCAATCACTGAATTATTACAAATACGTGGTTTATTTATTTTAGTACGTGACGTCACTTCCGAAAACAACTGAAGTAAAATAAGATTAGGGAGATGTGAAAACAAAACTCATTTCTCTCTTTATTATGCAAAAAAAAAAAAAAAAAATTTCAATAATGACACCGACTACAACGACAAACAGCAATCAATAATTTATTATTATTATTATTATTATTAAAGATTGAACGTATCAAGTTTGTTAAATCATCATCGTTATCATATATAATAATCGTTATCAAAATTTTAATAAATAAAATAAAATTAATTGGGAAAATTTAAAAAAAAAAAAAAACCGCGACACCGCTCTTTCCGCCATTTTGTTTTTAAATAAATAAATAAATGAAATCGTTTTGCGTAACGACTCGTGAATTTTTGTTTTTTAAAATTAATTTTTCTTTTTTTTTAATTATTACAAAAAAAAAATTTTTCGTCTGTTGTTTGTGTTTGTTGTCATCTTGATTAAAAAAAAAAAAAAAAAAAGCACAAACTCTCTCTTAATGAAGCAACAAACACGAAACGTAATTTTTAAATTTAAAAAAAAAAAAAAATAACGGTCCTTCTCTTCTCTCTCTTGGTAAAAAAAAAAAAATCATTTTTTATTATTTTATAATAAATAAATAAATAAATAAAATGGCAAAAAAATTAATAAACAAACGTAAAAATTTTAAACAAAAAACGTTTAAATAATAAATGACGACGGAAAATTTAAATTTAAACAATAAAAAAAAAAAATCAAAACGTTTTAATTATCCCGTCGATAATAAATTACCGCCGACGTAACATAAAAAAAAAAAATTCGTTACGAATCATTGCCAACATTCAAAAAAAAAAAAAAAAAACCGTTAAAACAAAAACCGTATAAATTGTTGAAAAAATTTTATATATAAACGATCGTTAAAAACGAATTTAAAAACGCGTCGGTTGTCGTCGGCATAAAATTAAAACAAACAAACAAACAAACGATTGATTCGAAATAAATATTAATAATAATAATTATTTAATAATTAAAAAAAATCATCAACTTAATGAATACAATCGCGTTCCGATTAATTTATTTAATAACAAAATGGCGACGATAATAATAAATCGTTTATTATTTTTAACCGCAAACGATCGTAAATTTATTTACTATTTATTTATTTAAAAAAAGAGATTTAATATCGTAATAATTCGACATTTTTCATTGTTTCTGTTTTTTTTTATGATGTCGTCATTTGTTTAAAACATTTTCGATCGATCGATCGATATATCGATTGAATAAATCGCCCACAAGTTATGAATATTTCTCTACGTAATGTCTTTATTATTATTATCATGTTTAATAGAATGTTTTGTGTTTCGAAACAATTATTATAAGTGACTACTCACCCGAAAATATTATTATTATTATTAAATAGTAAAAACAATAGAGAGAAATTTGATGAGTTTCTTTCTCTCTCTCTCACTGTCTTTGTCTCTCTCTCTCTCTCTCTTTTTTTTAAAAATTTAATAAAAAATAATTTTTATTAAAAGACAAAATTAAATTTAATCGAATGAATTTTAGAAAAAAAAAAAAAAGGTTAAAAAAAAAAAAAAATGTATTTACTATCCTTCTTCTTTTTTTTTTTCATCTTCGTCTAATAAAGGTAAAATAAGAGAAGAAAGGTTTAAAAAAGGTTGTAAGTGAAGGAAATAAGTGAAACGTCAAAAGTTGTTATAATTAAAAAAAAAAAAAAAATATAACGGTCGTTTCAAAACAAAGAGAGAAAGAGGAAAAAGAAAAATTTCTCGCCATTTTAATTGTTTCGAAACATTTGTAATTAAAAGCGTAAATTTTGAAACAATTTAATCAATCAATCGGTTGGTCGTTGTTGTTGTTGTTGTTATAATTTATTTATTTTCGTTATTAAAAAAAGAAAACTCCTGTCTTGTGATAAAATAAAATGAAAAAAAAAGAAAGAAAAATTTAATAAAATTCTAATTTATTTTCAGTACAGGTTTTTTTTTTCTTTCTCTCTCTCTCAAAGTCTTTTCTCTCTCTCTCTCTCTTGTTAAAAAGAAAATATTTTCTTTTTTTTTTTTTCTCCAGTGAGTGGGGAAATTTTCCAAAATTATTCACATCTAAATTTAAATTTTCTTTAGGCTCTCTGTATGAGAAAAAAACCCCCTTTTGACTTTATTATATATTTTTTTTTTTGGTTTCATTACAATTTTTTTTCTTTTTTTTCATTCATCTTATGATGTCAAAGGGTAAAAAAGAAAAGTAAAAATAATAATAATAATAATAATAATAATAATATTTTTGAGCATGTATATTTCCTAGTACAAGGTTATGTGTTTATAATGGAAGTAAAAAAGAAAAAAAAATATTCCTTCTCGTTTTAATTTTGATTTTAAAATCATTTAAACATTTAAATAATTTTTTTTATTCGTTTTTTCTTTTTCTTTTTTTATTATTATTATTATCCCGTAATTTTTTATTCGAGTAGAATATTTTTTTATTAAATTTTATTAACGTACATTATTTATACGTGAGAAAATTTATGGCGCCACATTCTATAATTATAAGTACCAACCTAACACTTCAACGCGTTAATACGTAAACGTAATCAATTTAAAATATTTATATATCAATTCGAATAATAAATTGTTTAATTTAATAATTTCAAATATTAATAATGATATTAATAATAATAATAAACAACGAGAGAAAACGATTAACGATTTATTTTTTCGTTTTGCGAGGCAACCATATTAATAATTATGTGACATTTAAAATTAGGTTGGCAGTACGTAACCGCCATTGTATTTTACCGCGTAACCCGAAGTGTATCGTTTTACTTCATCGTTCGACATCATCATCGGTTCGGTTTTTCTAATTATTTTTTATCGTTATTATAATTATTTGAGTGTAAATTTATAACCGTTGTGTTAATGTATAATCTTTGTGTTTATTATTATATCATCTTTTTCATTTATTATATATAAATTAAAAAGAATATGTGCATTAGTATTATCATCATCACCATCCAAACCAAAAAAGATAAATTGGATATGTGATATGTCATAATATTAATTAAGGTTTTGTGATTAATTTTTAATGATATTGTTTAGTGATAGTGTAGTGTGATATTGTAGTGTGATAATAATAATAATAAGTGTAATATTACCACATATATCTGTGTGTAAAAATATTGAAAGGTAATGTATTAGTAACATGTATTCCTATTGACTATGATAATTAATAAATGTCATTTTTTTGTCTTTTTAGTTGTCAAGTATTGTTAATTTTTTATTACATTATGTGTGTGAATGCATTTGAAACTTGATTCATCATTTATAAGGAGTAATAATTGTGGTATATTAACAAATTGATTGAAATCATTTCATCACATCAGTGTCACACACACTCACACATCATATAATATGATCATCACCATGCTGTATAACATTCAATAACTTTGTATTGTACCTTTTTACATATCAACTAGTCAAACTATTCATATTGAGTGATATAAAAAGTTGTATTCTATTAACTAAAGTGTTGTACATGATGTATGTGAATCATAATTGCATGTCATGATGCATTTCATTCACACTGCATCACTTAACATAATTATTTAATGAAACTATTTTACAAAAGTCATAATTGTTATTATTCAAGTTTATAATTATTAATTATAATAATAATAAATTTATTGTATTAAAGGAGTTTGTTTGTTTAATATGACTTTTGTAATGGTTTATTATATGTAAGAATGGATAAGAACAACAAGTAAAGGAAAAACTTTGTAATCATCATTCATAATATCTCATTTGAATGTGTTGTTGTTGTTGTATATTTAAAAAAGTACAAGCAACATTAATTGTTTTAATTGCATGAAAACATGTTTTTGAACATTCATACAAACATAATTAATAATAATAATAATCATTTGTAATTTCAAGAAATGACTGAATGTTATAACCAACACATTTTATTCGGTTAAAAACTATTTTTAAAAAAAAAAATTAATTTTAATTGTTACTTTTTTATTTTATTCTTCATGTTGTTTCTGACATTTTAATTAATCATGATTTTTTGCACTTTTTATTATTATATAGCATCAGATGTGTGACTCATCATTTGCCATTTTCTTTTTCATTTTAACAAAAAATTTTTAATTAATTTTTTTTTTTTGTCTCTGCTCTGATGATTATAATCATCATTAAAATTATCAAAGGTTTTAAAACCCCCCCACATATTATTCATTGATGAAAGAAATATTATCATTATTATTGATATATATGTTTTTAAATTTTGTTTTTATTAAATGACTGAAAACAATCACTGTCGTACGTATTTTTAATACGATTTTTTCTCTCTTTTCAGAAGATTTATTTTACGACTGACAAAACAAAATAAAAAATCGTAAAAAGGGAATTTATTATTATGGAGTCTTATTAAAATGGGAAGTCTTTTGTAAGGTAGGAAACAATAATAATAATAATAATAATAATACGTTATATATTTATTTAATTTTATGACTTATTAAACCTTAAAATTACTTCTTTTTTTTTCCTCGTCGTCATAGCCTTCGCCATAATAAAATCTTTGACAAAAACAAAACGAAAAAATGCACTTAAAAGGTTTTTTTTTGCTTTATAAAAATTATTATTATCATTATTATGACGTAATTTTTTGTTTTTTTACTTTAAATATGATAATGTTATTATGTCGATTATAATCTGATGTTAAGTAACATTAAATAATTATTTAATAACTAAAAAAAAAAAAAAATTAATAAATAAGCGATGACGTGAAATATTTTATTTATTAATTAATTACATTTTTTTATACGGATTCGATTTTAATTACAACTTATTAATTTTTTTAATTGAAAATATG